GTTTGAAATAAGAAAATCAAACACCTGATCAAGCTAATCCTTGATGCAGAAGGCAGGCTGATGCCGTCTTCTAATAGATGTTACATACCATGTGTAAAGTGAGGCAAGAGCTCCAGCTCTACAACTAAAAGTCAGGGGTTCAATAATGAAGTTGAAACTGCAATTAGACTTTTTGTTACAAGTTTTAGAAGACAGATGACAGATATGCTAGAACCGATGATCTAGAGAAGATACCTCCAATTCAGGTTGAAATATTAGTGAAACATTCCCACTGATGATTCTGTCCTGGGCCGGCAAAGATTTGAGTATCTTTTTCCAGAGAACTGGATTTGTTTTTCATGTGAATAAAGGTCATAGCAGAGAATTATCACTTACTGTTGATGCCAAATAGAAATTAAACAATACTGTCATGTTGTGTGTCAAACAGGTAGGAAAGAGCAGTATGTTTTGAAGACCCTAAAAAACTCCAGGAAGAACCCCAACAAATCCTCAGCAGCCTTTGGACTTGTGCCATATTCACTTGACCAGTAACATAATTGATTTTCTAATATTTCTTTTAACCTTGTAAGGTAACAATAGTGTAAAACAAATTCTTCGTGTAATAATATGAGAACAAATAATACACATTCTGTATGTGTTATTACATACATTACATACATTCTGCATGCACTATTATTTAACTTCAGTGGGTTTTTTTGTGTTACAAAATTATTGTTTCCATTTTATTGATTGAGAAATCAAGACCCCAAAAGATTATGTGATATTTTTCAGATATGTAGAGCTTCCCCATCTGAACGAATTGTTGTCAGTTCTGTTCCCATAGGTCAAGTGTTCAGCTCATTAAAATGTTCCACTATCACAATTCAATGACCTTGTGGGCAATCTTTGCAGAGGCTAATGACTTATTTAGCACTAGCATTGATCTGCCAGGTATGATCTCTTTGAGTTAGAAGATCTATAAATACAGCTTAATCATTCAACACGCTTAATTAAGTATTGCATTACTGTAGTTTTATATTGATGTAGTGTTATTTGGTTTATATGAGATTACTAAGAATAACCCAGTGATTTAGTGTTAACTAGCTAGTCTTTCAAGAACCCCAGAATCATGAGACCCTGGTTGCAAAGGTGCTGCAATCTAGTGCCCTTAGGCTCATGGCTAGTCAGCATTTCTGTATCTTGGCACACTGTTGAGAAGACTGTATGCACAGCAGATCTATCAGCATACATTTGTATAGCTACCAAGGTGCGAAAATAAATTCACACAAAGAACTCGATATTGGTACACACACATACATCTCTGGGAAACTGACCTACAAAGATGGTTTGTCTTTTGGAAATCTTAAGTGTAAGTACAGTAGGGAAATCACTGTACTTTTCCTGCTGTCTCCCATGCGAATAGTCAGAAAAACAGTCTCCCATTTACCTTTGGCAAAACTAAAAATATGTGACTGTGTTCATAATCCTTATACTTCAATTAACTTTCATGGTAATATTTGCTACTTAAATATTATGCAAGCTGTTCCTAGTTTAATGATTGTTTGCTCCTGTTCACAAAATTTCAAGGTTAGTGCAAGGTCAAGCTGCACTTTGCTGAAGAAGCCGGTTATAAATTTCACTAATGTATTTCATCATGTGATGTTTTTCTGGTCATACTGCTGATTGTTCTGGAGTAGAAAAAGGTTAGCAGAGCACACATGATACAGTTATTACTCCTGAATTCAGTCTCTTCGTGGATAAAATATAGATGTTGTTACTTCTATGAATCTTTTTCCTATTTCTGTATTTGAACTAAGAACTGAGTTCTTGCTTAAATGTAATGAAACTGCTTTAGCCTGAAGGCAATAAATAGAACAGGTTTCCCTGTGAGAATTTTAGTTGCTTCTAGTTGGTTTCTAGGGGTTCTGTGGTGAACAGTTTTTGTTAGCTGCTTAACAGATGGGTTTTTGATTATCAGCTGTTTCCTTATAGTATGGTTCTTGATTAAAAAGATCTACACCTTTAGTCTCTATCTGCCTGACAAGTAGAGGGCAGCTGAGTGGGAGACACTTGTTTACTTAATAAGTGGGTATACAGCAAACTGAGACCTTGGGAGTTTGCATGGAGGGCATCAGAAATGGCCCCAAAATGTGTGGGAGCAGAAATGGTGGTTATGGGCCATAGGGCTCATCCCCCAGCCTTAAATGGAGAAATCAGCTCTACGAAACCAGGAATCAGGTGGAGCTCTGGAGGGAGGCTGCTGCTACACAGGTCTCAGGCAGCATCAGTCTGAAGAATCTTTAAATACTTGTTAGGAAAACTGAAAAAACTGAATCCATGATTCTCCCTTTCCACTTCACAGAGTGAAGAAAAACTAAAAAAACAACCAGCACCTAAAATGATCAAAGGGTGAGCATGCAAAGATTAATTTGTTAACTCTATCTTCATATTCAGAAATACTTTTTGTCTGAACGTTACATCACCATGTATGAGCAAAGCCAAAAGAAATACAGCACTGCAAAGTACAACATACTGCAACATACAACATGCCTGCATCTTGCAAAGCTAGTTCTGAATTAATGGCTGTTCATGCCATCACCTGGACATGACGAGCACAGAACAGAGACAGGTAGCTAAGATGAGAAGTGTCCCTAGTGCAGAAGTTCTGTGAGTGATGGGGCATGGACTTTTCTGCTAGATTCTTTATTTGCACTAGATTCCAGTGAACTCAGTCCTGAAGAGAAGTAGGAAACATTAATTTGCTAAATGGCCCTTTGGCTTGCCTGTTTTCCACCTATGATTGTTGTTTAATGGTTCAGGAACAAATTAATTATTTTCAACAAATAGTTACTTTATATGCATGGTAAAGTACTTTAAAATATTCTGCAGACATTTTTTTGGATACTAATGGTCATGCATTTTCCCACTAGCAATGTTGATTCAACTGACTATAGTGATTATAAAAATTTTTGATTGAGATAATAATACATAAGTTGAAGTATTTCTAAATTGTATTCACTAGATAATCAATGGCACATTATCACCTCTCTGGTCAATTTTCCATTAATTATGAAGAATTAAAATAAGTCTTGATACTAACACAAGCAGCAATGTGGTAATAGATTTAACAGGCAAAAAGTGAGTCAAATGTGAATAGAAAGTCCTGAAGTTTTTCACTATTCTTTAAATGTTTACCTGAACTGCTGCTATGATTTTCACTAAAGGGTTGCAGGATCTTTGTCTTTATATTTTGTATTAGATATTCCAGTACTAGGAAGAAAAAGTTGACCAAACTTGTTTAGCAGGAATAAAGGAGTATGTAAACTTAAAAATAGTGGCAATGTCTTCCAGGAAGACACATGAAAGAAACAGCCAAGTATAAGGCCAGATCAGCCCCAGAAGAGATGTTGGAATAGCAGCATATGCCTACATACTCATTGCCACAGCTCTATGCAGCAGGTGTCTACTTATATAATAAAAGTTCTAACCCAAATGTTCACTGAAAGAGCTCTTTGAATTTTTTCCCCAGTCACATGCCCTGTGTGTTCATGATCAAATGGTGTACAATTGGCCTTGCGCCTGTGAGAGCCTGTGAACCAGAGGAGTCAGGTTGTGAAAAGGTCCCCTTAGAACATTTCACTGACAAGTGCTTGCACTGCCTCAAGCAGAGAATCACTTGCCTAACTACTGGCTTTCTGTCATCATTGCTAAGCAAACCTCGAGAAAGCATTTTAGGTTTCTGTTTAAGATACAAAAGGTGTTAGCCTTGATGTCAGCTGTTGAGCTGTATTCTCTAAAACTCAGCAGTGTTCCTCCACTGGAAAAAAAAAATATCTCAAGTGTATAAAATCCAGTAGATTACAATTAGATATTGTAATCTAAAAAATTTCATCTAGAAATCACTATACGTAAAAGCAAAAGTAACTGAAGCATTACTTATAGGCAGGTTGTAGCTCATGCTAGTTCCTCTCAGATTAATAACATCTTCATCTCAGAAAGAATATTCATCATCATCAATGGGTTGGATTCCAGGCTTCTGCCATCATTGCATTTCTGACTGTTGAGGACTCACAAAGATCAGATTTATGTGCTGTGAATAACGAGACTAGTCTCCAGCCAAACTGACAAAGACCAGAAGCTACAATTTGAGTGGTCTGCACAAGTCTCAGTTATCTGAGATTTGAATGTATTATTTAGATTTTTAATATCTTTAACTTAATTGACAACAGAAGCCACTGCACAGTAAATTATATATAAAAGTGTGCATGTTATCAAGTGTGTGTATATATATATACACACGATAACATGCACACTTTTATACATATATATGTATATATATATATATACATATGTATACAGATATATATATACACTAGTTGATAAGACTTCAAGTGTGGTTTTTCATTTTGCAGTCCAAGGCCTTTAGCAGCTGGACAGCTGGACTAGAGAAGACCACTCGTATTTCTCTATGCCTCACGATAACTTTAGCTAAATAAATAGCTATTTGCACTGAGATTTTGTTTAACCAATTCCATGGAGGATTCAGTTGTGAAATTCAGATTAGGCTTCAAAGCAAACTTTAACTCATCTCCAGGCAGGGTAATTTCCTCTAGTGCCCTAGGCTACATCTATTTGCAGTGAGAAGTATCCAGTAACTATTGCATTTCTTATCCATGTAAACATATCCCTTTTTATAGAAAACAAGAAAAGCTGATAGGCATTGACTGTTCATATTTTCTGTCTTATTACCTGAGAACTGCAAGTCTTCAGAATCTTTTAAAACTATGTTGCTAATTTTTTCCAAGTCCAAAATAAATAATAATTTATTATGTTCAGTATATGCATTTTAAAAAATTAATGAGATTTAATAAATTAATTGCATGTGTCATGTACTATATATTACACATAACTATACTAAAAACCTTTTTTCAAAGTAAAGCAGTTACAGCTCTAAGTTAGCTGAATACAAAACTGTCACTTAGCTCTCTTGTGTCTATGACAGTATTTAATTACAAGATTGCTTGTGATGTTTCACACAGAATAGATGATGCTGTCTGGCTAAGGAGATATTCAGCTCTCCTTGCCTTTTTTCAGTGTGTGGCTCTGTTGTCATCTCCAGCAGTGTCCCAGGCTCTCAATTGCCAGAGAAAGCCTTGACAGCAGTGCAAAGCAGTCACAGCTTCAGGAATGGAAGAGTTTTGGCTGTAGTTTGAGAAAAACACATAAGGGGCTGATAACTATCATGAAAAATATTAACCAGAATGCATAAAAGTTGGCAAATAAATACGCAACAATGATTTATGACTGTATCCAATATTTTCACAACAACAGGACTGAGTCTTTACCACAGTCTATTCTCTGTACACATTTTGGCTCAGAACTATTAAGGCCTGCCGTGAGGATGTGGTTTTCTGACTTCTGAGAAAGAAACCAGGTCATGTCTGAGATAATTAAGGGAAGCTCCTGAATGAGGCAGTAGGCCAAGTAGGAATGTAGAAATGGGAAAAGTAACCAGGCTATCACTAAAAGCTATAGACAGAATCAAGATGGAAGGTAGGCCACTGCTGCTGAGTATTACTAGCAAATAAGTTAGAAGGCCATTTGGCTTTTTTAAATGATAAGTGAGGGTCATGAGCCATGGGAATAGCAGTTTGCAAGCACTGCATGAGGAAGAGCATGCCTAATGCCTCCCAGCCCCAGATTCATCGTGCACACAGAGATGCACTGTTTGTACTCTCTACACATGCAGGTTGGCAAAGACATGTTCAAGTATTCCACAGATGAAAGCAGGCTCAAGTCAGATGAAATGTCCAACAGATTTGAACCTAGTCCAGAGGCCAAATTAGGCCATTAAAAACTACAATTATTGAAAAAACAAAATGGAGGAAAAAAGAAATAGGGGAAAGCGGAATTAGAATCCTAACTTAAAGAACAACAAAAAAAAAAAAGTAGAGGTGAAACATTTTGGTCTGCGTTTCTACGTACTTGAACATTCCTGGGCGGCAGAGCAACTCATGCATTTTCACTGTTTCCCTTCTCTTCTTTGACTACATTCTGGCTCCCCGCTAAAAATATATTAACAAAAGTGATTAATTTCTCGTATGAGTCCTACCTTTTTCTCTTTTCTTTCTGACAATCTTTTGTAGATTTTTAAGGACAGGGCCACATTTGCCTATATTTGTCATTTGTCTCAAAGCTTCAACATTACAGACCCCAAGTTCACCTAGTAATATCAGATTTAGCAAGAGAGAACCTAAATGATCCCACGTGCCTTTGTGCTCTACTATCATAATCCCTGAGAGCTTTTTTTGGTCCCCATGGCTGTCTGTTTGAGCAAAGGAAATATCCAGCCCCTATATATGTTCATTTACTTACGCCTTTATATAAGTCTTGATGAAAAATGTTTTATTAGGGTAGTGCAAACTGTCCTGAGCTAACCTGTAAGTGTAAGAGCTTTTGATGATTTTGAATTTGCTCAGTGATTGTTCAGGTGATGCAACTATGGCTGTCAATATAGGAAAAAAAAAATTATATCTATGTAAATTACTTTTTTAAATCCCACACAGTCTAACTAAATGCAAGAACATAAAGAACACCCTCAAAAATTGGCTTTGCTTGTCTTCAGGTGAAGAATTTCTTCACTCAGCTCAAACATATACAAGTTGTTCTGGAGAGGTAAAATTCTAGCACAGGCATTGAATACATGTTCTTGAAAACCTGAAAAAATTTCCACAAATGGTTGAAAAGTTGGCTGACAGTCTAAGACTGAAATAAGATGTTAATCCTGTGATTCCTCTGTCAACTGTAGTGTTAATCTGAAGTTTATTTTCTCTTTTTTTTTCTGGTTGATCTTTGCTCAGAATAAGCCCCACAAAACTATTGCATAGGATTTCCAGTTCACATATCAAATTTTGCAGACTTTCCACTTCTGCATCACCAGTTTTTCTTGAATTATTCCATTCCTTCAGTTAATTGCTACCAGTGTACTGTACATGTAAGAGTACTATGTTATTGCTTTATTTACTTCATTCCATGTCTGGTCATTTTTAAATTTAGATTTTTCTAAATACTTTTCAAATTTTTTGTTGATGCCTGGTAAACAAGCTGCGAAGGACCAGTCACCGTTAACACAGTCTGCCTATCCTGCACCAGAGAGCCCTTGAAGGGAATTTCCAGTGTGACGCTGCAGGGTGTCTTGGCTTTTTTGGAATGCTACAAAGCAAATTGTAAACCATCTTCACTATGCCAACACAAGCAACAGCTTTGGTACCATTTTCTGCTGAATCTGCTTCACAAAGATTCAGTGAATGACATTTGTTTAGGAATAGTAGGTGCTGTTTTCCTTCTTGCCTTAACAAAACGTAGTTTTCCAAAAAAACTTACATACCACAGTAGTTGTATTAATCATTCTTTTTTTCAGCCTTATGATAAGAATCATTCCAAAAAAATCAAGCCTGTTTTAACTCCTGTCTTTCCATTCCAACTTCAAAAATTTGGAGAATGCTCCTCAGCAGCATACACAAATGGTTCAACATCACCCTCAAAGGCAACAAGCCTATCTGATCTTCTTTCAAGTGAACATGTTTCTGGTGATTTCTGTGTTGGCACACTTTCTGTTCAGGAGCTGACACTGATGACTCAATCTCACGGTCACTTCACAGTTTCACAGATAATTATCTTAACCCTCTTCAAGGAAGCTTCATGAACATCAGCATATCTGTTTTTGTATTGTCCTCCATCACCACCTGTGGTATATCTCTGTTGCAATGACTCTCAAGGATCGGGTAAGTCATGTTTCTGAAAACGTATTTTTCTCATCAGCCTAAGGACTGGTGAGAAGTTCCTAAATGAAATTGCCATAGCCATAAGAGGGTCACAAACCTCAAGCGAAAGGACTGGTTTCTCGAGATACATTATGTATGGGACAACACAGGACTATGACCATCCAATTCCTTTATTTCATCGCCATCTGAACAGGGTGATTCAATAGCTGAGATATGTTCTTTTTTACATGCCATATTTGAACACATATCAACCATATATCAGCTGCAGGACCCAGAACTTTTTCTCATCTTTTGGGTCTCTGCATATTTGAGCTTCAGCTCTGCTCCTGCTCCATTTTGTGATGGAGCACAATTTACCCTTTTTCTGATCTTTGATTGTCTTGGGAGGGAAGATGGGTGTTCAGGCAGCAGAAGTGTCTTGATACAATCCAGTCAACTTCTCAGTCTAGATGATCATAGAATCATAGAATCAGAATATCCTGAGCTGTAAGGGACTCACAAGGATAATAAAATCCAGATCCTGAATGTTCAAGATGTGCATACCTGGCCACTCACCTTCTTAAAGAGTGGCCATCTGCCTTCTGTTGTAGTCCTGGAATACGTCACAATATGTCACCAGGTTTTTTTCTGTGATTGTTTACTTTGGCTGAATGCCAGGTGTCCACCAAGACTGTGTAAATTCTGCCCCCCCCTCCCCGAGGGAAAAGGGGAGACGGAAAAAAAAAAAACCAAAACCCAGGATTTACCAAGAAAGGCAGTTTTATATTTACACAGAGACAAGGAAAAGAACTAATAACACTATGAACACACAGGCAAAGGAAACTAACAGTAAAATTTTACTTCCCACTAGAAGCGATGTCTCAGACAGGTGTAACTGTCTACAGGGCAGCCATCTCAGAAGAAGAGAGACCCCTTGCTTCCTTCTCGTCTCTTTTATAATCTGAGCTGACGTAACATGGTATAGAATACTTTATTGTGACATATGTCACAATTCAGACATTAAAACTGAAGTGGCAAGAGTGCAACATAAGCAGTTGTACCTTTCACAGTATTTAAGCGTTTCCTGCTGATTTACCAAAAAAAGTTCAAAACTTAAAAAAATGATCCTAGGATTCTTTCTGCCCTTCCCCCCTCCCCCCGCCCCTATGTCTAGGATATTTGTCACCAAAAATCAATGTCATTTACAGGTTGTAATAACCTTTTGTTGATTTGGAGAAGACAAAGATATTTGGGGGGTTTTCACATGAATAATTTAGTCTGACTTCATCATTCTCTTAATATTTCTCTAAATATTTGGTAACCTAATTTGTATTATAGTACATTATCACAGACATTAGAAACGTGTTAACTAATCTCTCAATGACATGACATGATATTCAGGAATTATTAATTGCTCATTGCCTCCAGACTTCTTTAGACTTTAAACTTCCACAGAGGGATAGGGATTTGAAATTTGCAGTTGGCACCTAGTTTTCTAAAGAATCAAACCTTTAACTTTAGCCACAGCAATTTTGTACAAATCCAGAGATGATACACTGGTCCTGTATTGGAAAAAAAAAGGAATGTTTGAAGCTATTGAACAGGATTTCCCCAAACTGTTGCTCAGTGCCACAGTCTCAATGTCATTGAGAAAAAATTTGATAAAGAATAAGAACAGGATATTAGCCACCCAGCCCAAGAAAATGCAAAATTTTAATTCTTTATACTGTTCAAAAGTTCAGAGTTGAAACCCAGTTCTACAGCTTTTATTTGATGTTGCATGTAGAGATAACACCTGAACACCATGAATTTTATAAACTGTTCTCCTTTTCAGCTTGGCTTCCGCTCCTTCCCTCATTTTAGCTTCAGAACACACAGCCTTTAACACAGATCTGAAAATATACAGAAGGAATTAATTGCTAATATTTTTTTCATCTTATTCATGGATAAATCAAGGCACAGATACTTTCAGTATGCCGATAGCAAAGCTGAGCCTGGACTATTATGCCCTCTATCCTCTGTTCTAACTGTGCAACATATATAAACTATGACATTATGAAGTGTGAGAAACTTCCAGCAATGAGGAGAATGTTTTTGGGAAGAGTGAACTTTTTTCATTCTACTATGCATTTGACTAACAATAATTTTAACTACAGAACAGTGAACACTAAACTTATGCTCACATTTTATTGCTTACATTGCAGTTGCATAGGTTTTATGGTACTATTATTCAACAGTAAGCCTAATAGAAGTTTCAAATGCATAGTTTACCTGTGATTTTGCCTTAAATTAAATATAGTAATTCCAAATTTTTTCTAGCTTCTCATTTTTCATTAAATCCATACAACTCTTTAGAGTTTAATAATGTGAGCTTTTTGCAACCATTTGAGAATTGGGGTTATGTTGTTAAAACACTGTGCAAGTAATTTATATGAACAGAGTAATATAACTTTAGTGTTATATGCACTTTTAAAATTTTGAGATTGCAATTCAGCCACCAGGAATCCATAACCAATTGTCTTCATATGGTTCTGGGTACTGTTCCTTATATAATGAATGACTCAGGAGACCTCTTGTTCTCAGAATACATTATAGTATATAAAATAAATTAAGTTGCAGTTTTATCTGACAAGTTTTTTACTACAATTTCTACTGGAATGTGGATTCTAGGTTATGTTCATATTACTGCTTGTGTTGTTTACAGTGCAGGGAGAGAACTCAGTAGCTTAGTTGTATATGAAACATCTTCCTGAGAGATACAAATAGGTGGAATTCATCTCACTGATATAGGAACTACCCCATCACTCATGAGCAGAGCTGCTCTCAGTGTGTAATGGGACCATTGTTATCAGGTTAAGATTTACCCCTTAGGGCAATATCCTGCCTTTGCTTTTTAGGAACCATTTAATTCCAGAGGATATTTTGTGTAATATCTGATAGTCTTATACAGTTCCTAATTTAATATACAAGTAACAACCTAGTGGTATACTGCAAATTAGTTTTCTTGTGAAAAAAATAAGTACAGTATATTCAGTTTTGGCTATTATTTTTCTTATGAAATTGTACCTGTCTATTTAAAATAGTCTTATATTATCTCACCCATACATACATTATAAACAGACAGAAAACACCTGCGGGATAACTTCTTTTTAAATACATTTATAAATACATAGATACACATGCAGCTCTGTCCACATGTGCTTTGATGACCCGTTCTTCCTAACTGAGTCAATAAGACTAAGGAACAGGCAAGTGAAAAATAGACAGGAAAAAAAGAAGAGTGGCATAAGGTGTGGGTGTGAAGAGGAAAGAAGAGTCATGGGCTGGCCAGGTAACTCTCCCTGATTTCCCAGCAGGTAAGTAACTCTCTGAAGAGTCACTTGAAACAGTGAAGTCCTTTGATAAAACAGCAGCTACGTCACTGTGGCAGCAGGCAGTATCATGCAACCAAAGACAACGAGATCAGAACTCCCACGACAGGTCTGCAGGTCAATTGCCTGAAATTTCCAGTAATTTGTGAATATTGGATGGTTAAGGCTTTGAGGACAGATCTTAAGACCCAACCATTAAAGAAAGTCAATTTCAGAAAGAGTTAACACCCAGATACAGTAATAATTGATGCTTTGGCTCACCTTTTAAAATATTCCTCCTTTCCTTCTGTAAAACAAAACCAACAGTTATTTTATCAGGTTATTCTGAAGATTGCCTAATTCCTTGAAGGTGCTAAAATGGTCATAAATGTCAAGCAACCCTACTTGACAAGTCATAGGTGGTGTGCCCACATTTTTTATCTGTAACTTATAGTTTACAAGTCTGATGATCATGGGGTTTTCTGAAATGTTTACTGTTGTGGATTAATCCTGTAGGCAGCTAAAAACCACACAGCTGCTCTCTCTCTCCCTCTGCAGTGGGATGGGAGAGAGAGAACTGGAAGAGCAGTAGTGAGAAAACTTATGGGTTAAGATGTTTTAATAAGTAAAAGAGGAAAAGACAAAACAAAATAAAAGAAACAAGTGGCACAAAAATCAACGTCCTCTCCCCCCCCCCAAGCAACAGCAACCTGGAGAAACTCCTTCTCATCACAGAAGTTATGATGAAGAAAATTAACTCTATCCCAGCCAAAACTAATACATGCAACTCATATCCTTGTATAATAATCTGAGTACAAATCCATGCAGTATTTGCAAATAAATATCATGCATTTTCAAGTAAAGTTCATCATATGTATTATTTTACTATTAAATTATTATTTAAAAATGTTTGCATATGAAAGTGGAGGCTTCTGAGCATTAATTAGGTTTTTAATGAAATCAGTCACTGGGTAATTAGACAAATTTTGCTTTGGCTAAAGGATGCAACCACAAAATTTAGGATAAATATTCTATTTGGAAAATTTTAAATACATATCTGAGTGAGCAGAGAAAAAGAGAGGCAGCAGAAAAGATGGGGTCACAGTCCCCAAATAAACACAGAAAACTTCAGAAAAATATACTAGTGTTGGGGCAGCAACTATTAACTTATTCCAATTTTGAGAAATGAAAAATTATGTTTAGTATAAGGGAATTGTTTACCTTATTTGTACTCACTGGTGGGTTCTAAAATATCCTAAAATAGATGGTGAAGCTTAATGAAAATTACACCTTGCACCCAAAAAGGAATAGAGGCCTAAGAGATGAGATGAAAAGAAGACCTAGAAGATGCTATAACACCTACAGCAAATGATGTCTCCTTATTTGCACCACTGGCAAAAATCTAGCCTTAAAGAAAAAGTGTCAAGAACTCATATTGAGTTTAACAGTACCAGTATCTTGGTCAGTGTGTTATGTTTCTAGAAGAAATAAAAAGTATTCAAAGACAGGTGATGAAAAGAGTTACAGACTACAAGCAATTTTTAAGTGGCTGAAGAAACCAAGATGATTTGATCTGCTTAATTTAAAAAAAAAAAATCTAAACACATCAGAATATATTTGATTTGGCTAAAATGAAAAGGTTGCTGAGGAGGTCAATAAGGAACTTCTGTTCACCCTCTAACAATACAAGAATAAAAGTTCTGATGAACTAGCAAAACAATATACTTTTGCACAGTTTGCAATTAACCTGTGAAACTGGCTGTCATGAAACATCAGTGCACTCAAGAGTTTAAGAGCCTTTGAAATAGAGATGGCATTTTATCTGAGTGATGAGAATATCCACAGTTACTTTGGTAAAAAAAATATTAATTTGGACAGGATGCAAACTTTCAGCATATTCACCAATTTCCATGTAAAAGACTGAAATAATTTTTTCCTGGAAGGATCATTTAAAAATTCTCTGTGCATTTTGCAGTTAATTTTGTAGTGCCCAGAGTCCGTCAGACACTGCAATCACAGTTGTGCAGTGTTACAGAGTGACTAGATGCTCCACTGGCAGTGTCTTGCATTCACTGTATCCAGAGATCAAAGATTTCCACACTGTGTAATATTCACTTTTTTTTATTACTGTAAAGCACATAGATTCCTTCTGGAAGACTTTCCAGGCTCTAATTTGCTACTGGCTTTAACTTTCTAATATTTTCTGGATTTCAGAATTTA